TCAGTTTATTCTCTATCTGCCTCTGCTCCATTTCAAAATCTGTTACTGATTTTGGGTGGTGACAGCTGTCCAATGTGGACGAGTTCTTGCTGATTCCTTTTTTCTGGCTACCTATTTGCCTTTTGTCTGACTAAACTATTTGGACATGCTACAGTTTTTACATTTTCTGGTGACAACAATCATGGAAGGATCCAGATTGTCTCCACTCTCCTTGAATGGGTTTTGTGTCTCTTTGTCACCTTTTTGCATCTATTTTTTGTTGTATTGTGAGCTTATTGTCATTTTGCATTGCTTTGTATTCATTGGTATTCATCTCTGCCGTTATTTTGCACATCATTGTAGTAATCTGTGTCTCTTTTTGTGTAGTCATTTGTTCAGTTCAGTCTTTATTAAGATCGTGTTCGCACAATTTAGTCACAGCCTAACAGCCAGACAGATAAACATGTGAGAGACCACAACAGTAACACATAACAATACAATTTTAGTTTCCGATGATCTTCTCACTGTTTCTGACATCGCTGTTGATTGCGTTTTTTTTATATTTTATGTCGAGATTACTTAACCAGCAGTATATTAGGAAAGACATAATTGACTCTATTTAGGATTTATAGAAAAGTTCCATCCCAGCGCTATCTACATTAAATCATCTGAACCCCAAAACCCACGTGTGGGTTTGAAAGGCATGTTATCTTTAAAAGATGGCCAAAACCATTTATCTGAGCCAGAAACTGTAAAAACAGAAAGATTTGTTGGATTTTCCATCTGTCCTTGAACTAGGTTATGAAGGAAAATGAACAAAATCCAAGCGTAACATTTTTTCGATCAAAATCATTTTGTCCTGGATGTCTCATTTTTTAAAAAAATCACCAAAAATAAGCAATTACTTACCAGATTCTGTAAAAACAAACTGCACTCTGTGGGTAACAGGGAAGCCATGAGTGACTCACCTGCAGCCAAAAGTCACCTGATAAAAATTCAGGGACTTGGGCTGAACTGCAGGCTTTGTTTACAACAGGGCAGACAGGAGACAAGCATGAAAACAAATTCAAAATGGAAGAAGTACAATGTAGCATGTAAAACAGTCATTTTTTTTCTCACCTGGGGACCCTTGGAAAAAATTTTGTCCATGTTGATTCCAGGTTTTTTTCAGTTTTTGTAAAACAGATAAAGAATTTCAGCTTTCGCTTTGTATTTGATTTATGGCATTACAACTGTGTTACACTGAGTTCTCTGTGCTTCTAGTCTCGTTTGTTACACAGAGGCAAAAAAAAAGCCCCAAAACTCCTTGGAGGTCACAGAATTAAAGCCCTGTCCACATCAAAAAGGATCATTTTCCAAATGGATATTTCCCCCCTCAGTCTGCACAACCATCTTTTAACAAAACACCTCTGTACACACAAGAACACAAATACTACTCCAAATGCTGTAATAAGCAGGCAGGGTCAGTCTAGATCAACCATGTGTCAGATACCAGAGAAGAACATTCTGTCCATTTGTTGTTTCTGTGGATGCTGTTGACCAAGTAGTGCTGGGCTCTGCAGATGCAAAGGCTTGTACATGCCACTGGAGTTGAAAAGCAATGCTTAATTAGACTTGTAATAGCTAGTACTAACCAAATGTAAAGAAACTGATATGCAAGTTCACTTCAAAAGGTTCTCTACCTCACCAGACACTTCACAGGAGAAGGCTGTTCTTGCATTTAGTTCACTGACTTTTGAGCTTCACTTTGCAGAAGAAGGTCACATCTTGAGCCTCCAGATACTCGTCAACAGCATTCATCACGGTGACCTTGCAAGTGAGATGTTAGTTTGGGAATCAGAAGTCAGATGGTGCCAAGTCAGATGAATAAGTTGCATGGGGCAACAGTTCTAAGCTACACTTGGCTCTTTCTGGGACCTGTGCTGTGTGGATGTGCACATTGTCCTGGAGCAACATCACGCCAGCTTGAAGTTTGCCTGTCCATTTTCTCTTGATTGTCTCAAACATTGTAGTTTTTTGGACAGTGATATAAGGCACTACAGCATACAGTTACGCCCCAAAATAGTTTCTCCATTTGTTTCTGGATAAGGCCGAGAACTTTTTTGAATACATTCGTTGTTGTTGTTTCAGGCACATGCTCATTATATAAAGCAACAAAGGGCACGCGTACATCAAAGTGTGACGTTGTCGCTTCTCATCTCTGTTTTGTCATGTCAACTTGGATACATGTGAACTCAAGCTTTCAAAAACCTGCAGCATGCATGTGGATGAGAGGCTAAAAGTGGAGGAGAATGTTTGTTTTGCAAAATGTCCTTGTTTGTGTGGACAAGTCTCAAATGATCTAAGTTTTTTAAGATGACAGAGGGGCTTTGTAGTTGTTTCGTGACTATAATTTAGCTCATGCAGAGATAAAGAGAGACTAACTGACTCTTGTGCAAAGCGACCTGTCAAAGCAGATCCACGCTGACTTTCCTGTGTGCAGATCTTAAAGGAAATACTCCAATAACAGACAAAACACCGTATTTACAATATCACAGGCACAGGTCGTGTTGTCTTGAAGCAGAGCAATCTTGCTGTCAGATGATTTAAATTCCTTTTTTAATTTTACTGCATTGTAATGAAACAATACTGTAGCTTCAGTGGTGCTATGCAGCTGTAATAAAGGAATATACCATAAAAGAACAAACGCTAAACTGGATTGGTTGGGCCCCTGGTCTCATTCAGTAATCCATCCCTACCAACGACAAAAGCTTCTCACTTTTTCACTGAATCCACTTTACCTGGCTTTATTACTGACTTGAGCTGCACTGATGCAATAAATTCCACCTATCTGGTATCAATTTGACAGTCAAACAAATGCCAAGAATTGTTTCCTCGTACAATCAGGCCCAGGTGTGTTATCTTTATTGCCATTTCACCATTCTTCTCCCCTTTCTGTAGTATCTGTCCCAACAAAAAAATTGCACAGATCAAATCACAGTCTTGTCAGCATCCATTTTCCTCTCCCTCTGCATCCAAAAGAGACACACACACACACACACACACACACACACGCACACGCCATGATGCAGACATACACCCAGGGTGGCGTCTCATTCCTGTGGCTGATGAGAGCAGGCATGATGGGAGTGAGGCATGTAATGTGATTTATAGAGCCGGGCTCACTTTTCAAATTCAATCAGGAACTTTGATTACTGATGAAAATTTGAGACAGGAAATCGCTTTGATAGCAAACTAAAACCTCATGAGACAGAAGAGCACTGATGTGTGCATGTGTGTGCGGGCCGGGGAGATCCCGAGCCCGTCTGAACTCGGCCGTATTTGATTAGAGGGAACACACGCAATGCAATCAAGAGCGACAAAGCAGGAACTCCAGCAAATTTAACCGGCGACTGATGAAATCTTTCCTCTGGTGCAGTGTTGATCTGCTTCTCTCGTTTTGCGTCCATCTTTTGAGTCTCACCTTGCCGACTCGCGCGCGAGCATCACATTTGGTCTCAGAAGCTTTACAAACACGCAGAAGCTACGCTCGCGCAGCAAACGCGTGCACATATGGCCGACCCCTCCGCAGAGGTCATGGTGGATCCGTGGCTGTTGGGTCTCTTGTGTTATTTTAATGTCCGCTGTTGCACATGAGGGGACACTCAAACCCACACCTGACAGCATGACAGAGGGGCCCAATTACTATTCCCAGGGGAATGTGTGCCTTTGTGTGTGTGTGTATGACGGAGAGAGAGCAGACCAGACCCACTGAAAGAAGATACAGAATAAGAGACAGAGTGCTTGTGCATGTATGTGATACAAACATGACAGGCTCATCAGTCACCAATGGCCTTTTAAAGTGTTCTCCATAGGGACATCTGACCTTTTCACATGATGCCAATAGCAGCTGCATGATGAATCAATCGCCTAAGCCTTTGGCTCCTGGTAGCCTCTGTTATCCAGAGTAAATATGTGCGATGACATTCTGCCTGTTGAGACACCTGGAGACAAAAGCCCAAAGTTATGGATTGGCCTTTGATGCTAAAAGGAAACCCAGTGGTGATAGCAGTGAGACAGTGAGACGAGAGGCAGTGAACCTCAAAGAGGGGAGAAAAGTTTTGGATGGATGGGCGGACAGTCGGATGGATGGACGGAGGTGGGGGAAATTAAAAAAGCTATGAGAAAAGGAAAAAGCGAGGAGAGGGAGATAATGGCGCAGTCGAGGTCAGAGAACGAGCCACAACCTTTCTGTCTGTCTGCCCGGGATGGATAGGGATGGGGAGGAGGGGGGGGGAAAATGGGGATGCACAAGGCCAGCAGAAAAGATTAAGAGCAGGGCACTGGGAGGAGATAGATACTGAGGAAATGGAGAACAGGCCCTGAATTTTTTTGTATGTCGAGGCTCGTGTGTGTGTGTGTGTGTGTGGGTGAAAGAGAGAGACGGAGGGAGCGAGCGATAGGGGAATATGGAGCCTAATATGATGGGCTAAATGAGGTGTAATGGCGGTAACATAGAGTGACAGCAACTGGGCCAGTGCATTAAGGGGTTAACCAAGGCCAGGAGTCGCTGACCTTCCCCCTCCCCCGAGACAGAATTATCTCTCAGTAAGGAACACACACACACACACACACACACATACACACACACACTGATAATGAAGATGTGGTTGCCGGACCGCTATATTTTGCCATTCAAGAATGTTATGATGGGAATTTCACCACTGCTATCGCCATTAGAGAGAGCCGAGTACAAATGAGTCTAGCCCCCTAAATTTCCCAGCCGTGAATTCATGCTGGTCAGATGCTCGCCAACAAAATTTTCTACCTTCAGGCTTTGTTACACGGCAAAAAAGTAATTAAGGGAGGACTTCATAACACTTTCATGTTAGCACACTTTGAATTTTATGCAGTCATAGTTCCACTGTAATTGTGCCATGTTGAATTGTGTTTTGAATAGAAATTTCTGACAAACCGGAGACAGAAAGAGAAATGCAGAGAATGTGTGAAAGGGAAAAAAAAAAGACACTGCAGGCTTCAGGTGAGAAATTAGAAATATTAGCATATTTATTACAGCAACATGAAAGACATTAGAATTGCCTACACCCTTTACAACAAGCAACGCAGAGGAAACTGGCATGGGGACAAATAAGCATTGTACGGTGGCTAAAGAAAGAGAGAGAGAGAGAGGAGGACAAAGAGAGACAGAGCTGAAAGTCTCAAATGAGAATCTCCTGTGAACATTTACAATACGGACCTGGTGGGAAATGGAAACAAACACTGCATTTGAGATCAAGCAAACCAGCCCACATAGCTAACCTTGACAGGGTGAAAAAGTGACAGAAACCTGGGATTTTAAAATTGAAACCTAAAGTGGATGTATGACATAACTTTCTAGAGTGGAAGTGATGAATAGCAAAAGGGAGGACATTGTCACAATTCACCGTTATTATTCAGGCAGTATGCAATGCTGTTGTAACCTTAAAATTTAAGAAGAGTTTTGCACGTCGAATTATGCAACCAAAATGATCCAACTGTGAGCCAATCACATCCCTAATTTGCAAATAAATACCAACGATACTGTCATGTTCTCCATCAACTTCTACAGGTCATTGGATGTACGATTTAAAGTTATATTTTTAAAACAAAATCCCTTTCTTTTGCTTAAAGGAATCAAAGTGGCGGTACTGTTGGAGGGGGGCGTCTGGGATGTGACAGAATCAGGGTGTTGATGTGAGGTCACCTTAAGAACACAGATAAATACTACCTGTATATACACTTTACTCTTAATATCGCCTCTATAGGGCAACAGAAAAGAACAATAGCTCGGTAAATAAGGCATCAAAAAGGCCAGCGGTCATGGGTAGTCCGCTAGAGTGAAATCATAGAGTTAGCAAGAGTAGAATGAACAGTTTCAGACTCTCCTAATTTGTGTTCTTATCTGTGGCTTATGTGGCAAAACAGCAAACCTGGCTTGCAAGAGCAATTAATCTACAGATTATGTTATTGTAAATGTTCTGCATTGAAACATATTAACTGTTATTTTACCGATTCTAAAACAAAAGGACAAAAAAACACAAGTAAAAGGCATTATTGTGGTTAAAGTTTTAATTGTTCTAGCATCTTTGGCTCCGCCCCAATTGGTAGATTAAGCCCCGCCCATTGGTAACTGTTGCTATGCCTGTCAAGATTTCTATTCTCACATGGCACATGCTGTGCCATTGGCAAGAATGGTGGCAGATTTATCTCTAAAAAATGTATTTTCATAACAATGGGTCCCAGATGTCTCACAGAGGTAGACTTCTTATTTCAAGCTAGCAAAATACTGGCTTAAGTTACAGATATAACAGGCAGATTTTGTCAGCTGTAGTTGCTAATTGTTTAAGCTAACATTAGCCTAATTAATTAGCTAAAAAAGTTGTCTTTAGACTGCCTTTCGGATGTTTCAAGACTTGCGACTTGTTTCATATTTATTTGTTTTCATGTGCTGGTTTTGACACGAACTGTAGCCAAAGTACCTACTCTAAGCTAGTTAGTAGATGATATGCTCGACCTTGGAAGTAACACTTACTTGCAAAGCTAGCAGACATGCTAACAGTTGCAGCTTAAAATAGCAGTTAAAGATGCTGTGTAATCCATTCCTTACACTTTTGCGCTTGTGTTTTGGTTTCGGGAAGGTGAACAAAATAACACCGCCCTTTAAACTCTTTAAATGCTCTTACTGTCACTCCATGCACACCACTTCAGCATGCGGAGAAATGCCGATCTGCTGAGCCTAGGTCTCCTTTGTTAAGCTAAGCTTTAGCCAGTGTTCAGTTTGTGATATCAGAAGTTTGAGTTCCCTTATTTTATTCCTCCTCCCTCCCTCCCTCCCTCTCCCAAACTTTTTAAAAACTGTGTTGTAAGCAGAGACAGGGTTAAAAAGTGCTTGTCATTACTGTTTAAGGTGGATATGCACATGAAGCCAGTGTATCGATAACGAAAGTCCATTCTACTCATTCTAACGCTATAGTAGAAACTGCAGTCACTGTCACCTGTCCATCAAAGCTGAAACTTTGCACCATGCTACATTCCTTTGTTCAGACCAACGAATCACCTCCCTTCACTTTTCTCCTGTATGACCCGACCCTGAACTAGTACTTCAGAAATCTCTTTTTCACAATAAAAGTACATCATAGTCATCATCATTGTTATCATTACAAACATTCTAACATTGGAAATCAACGCTGTACATATTTTACACTATGATACAATCATATATACTGTACTTTATGCCACTGTTGGTCCTATAGAGTACCACATATATTAAAACTGGGTTTGGGAATACACTAAAAGCAGGTTCAGTGCCATTAATACAGTGTACACAATGAGGGTCCCTTCATATCGAACTGTGCATTGAATGTGATAAGCAGCAGTTTCCTTCTGTTAAGGAAAAAAACCAACAAACACATTTATTTGCTTCTTGCTGTAAACATTGTTTTGTAAATTTACTGGTTTGAAACACGTGATGCTCGAAATAGGTTGGCATGACTGATAACAAGAAAGTGAGACAGTACCAGGCAGACAAATCAAGTCAAGTTTCCCCTCTTGCGGTGGCACAGCTGAAAATCAACACTGCGTATATTTCATCTTGCTGAAAAAGGCTCCATTCCAATGCTCCTTTTCATCGAGCAGACTATTTGGAAAACACAAAACACTGTAATTATTGTGACTGGCCTTGTGTAACCATCCAGCCATGGGAACTGATGAAAGAAAAGCATACAGTCGGAATGGTGGTATGTTGGCTAGATGAACATCTCTCAAGGTTACTGTACATGGCACAACACTGGAAAAACACGTTTTTAACAGTGTCAACTCTATCATGACCTTTGTGTCACTTTTGCTCTACACAAAACACTATAACTTTCTTCACACACCTGAAACATGGGAAGGCAAACTTTTGGGCTGAGATAATCTTGACAACATCATACTGTATCATCTGTAACAGACAATGTTGTCTGGGGGAAAAAAAAGAAGTGGCAGAGTAAAATTTACTCTGTGTTAACTGCACCTGAAGCAGTTTCTTTGCAGTCAGTTACAATTTAAGTGCAAGCAGACTGGTGCACTGGGTCTAGTTGCTATGGAAGTATTTCTGAGAGCAGTCGCTAAGGAAGCCCTTGTCCAGATCAAATACACTATTTAAACAAATCATACTTCCATCCTAAATAAGCTAGCAAAATCTACATCCCTCTCTATCTTTAAAGGTCCAGTTTTTCTGATCCCCTCTCCCCACACATTCATGTCATTCAGAATCTCGGCTCAGTCATTGACTTTCTGTACACAGAGAGCAATGGAAGGGGCCATTTATGTACTGGGTAATAACTCCTGTTAGGTTTGAGCAATATAAACCTCGCCACCAATACAAACGTTAGGTCCATCTCTACGGTTGTGGGACACACAGCCCGTATAAACATATATCTACACATATCTACACATACATATCTTCTGACCCTTTTTAAACTCTTCAAGGTGAAAAGTCAAAACAAACAAAATGACAGTAAAAACCAACTGTACACCTCACAGACAGTGATGATAATTATATTCTAATTTGTTTTTTTTTTGTCATTTCTTTTGTTAAAAGTCTTTTTTTTTTCTCGTTTTGTTGAACTGATATGATGTGAAACGGTCTGGGATGCTCTAAGTGTGGCCTTGTTGTTGGAAATGTGTCTTTCTGTTGCTCCATAATGGTGATCGTGTTGCTGGGACTCTGAGTGCTAAAGCCAGTAGTGCCCATCGAGCATGGGAAGAAGAATGGGGGGGGAAACTGCGAGAAGGTGAAGGAGTCAAGCGTCCATGTTGTCTCCATCTCAGTGTGTCTCATAATCAATGGAGGCCCAAGCACAGAGTATCCATTACAGCTCCATGTCAGCGTGGAAACTCTTCACAGGAGCATCCAGTTTGACTCTGTTTCACTGTGTGTTTATGTGGAAACTGTTATACTTGGACGTGCGTCCCCTGGGTCTGCAGGCTCTGCACACTGGACAAAATCTTCTTCTGGTGGCCGGCCAGGGACACCCCCATCTTAGCTAATTCACTACATGGAAAACAGGAAAAGAAACACAAATATTATAATGCTATTTTTAGATAAATTATTCTAGACTATACTTAAAATGTCAAGCAGCTGCTGAGGTTTCATGTTGAGGATTCTTGTCTTCTCTAATTGCTATTAGCACTGAAGAGGAGTGTAGTACGTCTCTTGCTGACAAGCTTGACCTTTTGGGTGTTAAATTTAACAGGGGGGGGGGACATCGCACATCCGTACCTGACACTGATGTAAAGGATAGAGTCCAAGCTGACATATCCAGCACTGGAAAAGTTCTCCTTATACTGGCCCATCTTGATGGCCTCCAACCACTCATCCACTGTGCTCACGCTGAACTCTGGAGTGGACGGGTCCTCCCTGCTGGGATACAAAGCACACCCACAACAAAATGAAGAGTTGGTCCATGAAGTGACTGAATAACTGCTTTTTAATAGTACTGAAGTCAATTGTTTGTCCTTGGCACAGATCTAAAAGTAAAACTGTTGTGTGGACGTTCATAAATTAGAAAAAAAAGTGGCAGCGCTCTTGAGCTATTGCTCCTTCGTGGTGCTGAATTTGCATTAGGGAAGAATAGTTAGAATTCTGCAACAACCACAGCATGACAGCCTCAAATCCACCGTGAAAAGAAAATATAAACTTTAAACCTAGCCATTAGTGGGTAAGTATGATTAATGGTTTATCATCTGCTGCCCCCCCCCTCAGCACAAGTGCACATGGTTTTACTTGTGGAACCCTTTGACTTGTTTTTTTGCTTGCTTTTGTTTTAAATTGTTACAAATGATCTATGTGTTTATTCATTTGCATGCTCAAACTTTCAAAATACTTTGGTCTCTTTCTATCTCCATTTACATACAATATGCATTTATACATAGTGCAGCACAGTCGTGTTTATACTTCAGTTATACGCTGGGTGTGAGACTATCCTTTCAGGTCACGTTGCTCATTGAGTCTTCTGTGTGAAGGCCCTTGTTAGTAGTTCTTTTGAACTTCTATTGGCTTTTCAGTTGTGCTGGGATTAGTTTTTTGTCTGTCGGTGAAAGGGACTGAAACATCTCTATGCTGGCCTGATTCTGAGCATCGGCTAAATGCCTCAAGTGTGAAAGGTAACTGATATTCTGTTGATGTGTTCAGTACAACTGGGCATTCAAGGAGTCTAAACTAAACGTGAGGCACTGGATATACCGACACACAATCCAATATCTCTTCATAAATCTGAGAAAAATTTACATTTTAAATACCAACAAAGTAGATATACCATGTCTTCAATGTATCTAGCACCACAAAAAGACATCCAAATATTTCACAGCTACATGTAAGTATCAGTAAGAGTCACAGTTTAAATCCGTAGCTTTCTCCCACTGACCATGCTGAGCTGTTGGCCAGCTCTCTGAGACTGGCCGGGTTCCTGATGAGTTTGTCCAGGATTGTGACAATCTGTCCAAACTTTGGCCTGTCGCTGCGCCCTTTCTCCCAGCAATCCAACATGAGCTGGTGCAACACCACAGGACAATCCATGGGAGCAGGGAGACGGTAGCCCTCGTCTATTGCTTTGATCACCTGCAGGGAGAGAGATATCATGTTCTATGATTAATACCAGGCAAGGAAATACAAATTGAGATTGAGGAAAAAGTACATCTTTATCGTTGCAGGCATTGTTTAAGTGCAGTGCGGTGAGTAACACTGCAACTGAGACGTGATGTATGTGTTTGTGACTCACATCCTGGTTGGACATCTCCCAGTAGGGTCTCTCTCCGTATGAAATCACCTCCCACATGACGATACCGTAACTCCACACATCACTGGCTGAAGTGAACTTCCTGTAGGCTATGGCCTCTGGAGCCGTCCATCTGATGGGGATTTTTCCTCCCTAAAAAACACAAAACAATTAACACATTTATCCACATTCAACTCGCTGCTTTTCGCTGTCTGTAGTGGTGTAAATACCTAAAGGCTGTTTTAATTAGTTGGCTTCTGGCTAAGTGTCGTAATAAATCATAATGCAGGAGAGTAGAAGGAGTGTTAAGATGGTGGCTGCAGAGAAGCCTGGTGCAGCACCGTGTTTAGGAAGAGAGCAGTTGAGGTTATACACCAACTTAGCAAAGGACTCCTCTCTAGTAGGCTCACAACACAAGGTTGCTCCAGTGTTTGTTCTTGCACTTGTCTTTCTTCTGCCATCAGTTTTCCTTTTCCTTTTTTTTCCATTCTGCTCCTGCCTTTGTTGTTGATGCACAGATCAAAAGGATTCCATACAGCCGGCTGTATAGACACAATAGGCAGTAAGAAACCCCCGCCCTCTCCCTTTCACTCCAACACACAGCGTACCTCTATAGGCTCGCTTCAGCTTTTTAACATGCGGCAGCTGCCTCTGCACCACCTAGCATTCCCCATCTCTGCTTGGTCAAAGTCAAATAAAAGACAAAGCTGCCAAGTCACTCGGCACTGTACTTTTGTTTCCACCACCCCCTGTCCACCCCTACCCCATCTCCTTTTTTTTTTTCCTCTTAACTGCTCTCGCTGGATCCTTCTCCTGCCTTCCTTCATTCTCTCCCTCCCTCTATCTCTCTCTCTCTCTACTCTCCCCCAGCCTCCCTGGATCTTCGTCTTATTTGATATCCACTCCTCTCTCTCTCTCTCTCTCTCTCTCTCTCTCTCTCTCTCTCTGTCTCTTCCCCATCTCCGCCTCGGCCTCTCCTACCCCCCCTTTCCCCTCCCCTCAATGCCTGCAGCTCTCCATCTAGGTCTCCTGACATCAGTGGGAGTTTGTGTGTGATTGCAATAGAGCAGTCAGCGGCTGATACACTCCTCCCAGGGCAATGCTAATGCCATATTAAAAATAACATCCCCAACACTTCCTATGAATATGAATAATGCCATCTCCTCGTGGACATTTTAGATGAGTTACTCCACAGTGGTTTAACTCACTGACGTTTGAGTTTCTTCATTCTCTCTGAGCGCTCTGAGAGGATGTTAACGTGAACAAAGACTTCTCTGATTTGACTATATATAGGCTAAAATATTGAGAGGGGAAATTTGGGCGTATGCAGTCATGCTGTGCATGAATTAAATTTTGCTAACAGCATATATTCAGCAGCTGTGAGTAGAGCCCTGGTCCAAAGCTGCTTGCAAAACTCTGCAGCCCAGTATTAAAGTGTTATACATTTGTCCAGTCATTATTCCAAAAAAAAAAAAAAATCTGTTTTTGCCAAGTTTGAGCATGTGTCCTTGGAAGAAGTGAAATTCAGCACTCCAAAACTGAGGCTACTGAAAATGAGAAGGTGCAGTACACTCTGTTTGCAAGTAGGACAACATAATTCCCGCAGACATCACTTGAGCAGCTCAGTCCTGGTGGTGACACTTCAGTGTAATGATAAACAACCTTAACTCAGGNGCATTTAATTGGAAATGTGAACAAATTCGCAAAAAATCGGATTTCACAAAAAAATCTGAATTGAGCATTAAGTTCTGCAGTCTGAACGTAGCCAATCCGTCGGATTGTTAAGTCAGATAATACGCCGTTATCCTGATTTGTGACATAAAGTGTTGTGTCGGAGTCGGATTCCAAGGCTGTCTGTATGTTAAGGCTATTTTTAATGGGTTCCGTTTGTTTTTCCTAAAAACCTGTCGGATAACAAGGTTTTCAAATTGTTAAGGGTGGGATTATCAAGTCACGACTGTATTTTGTGCTCTTTTCCTACATCTGTGCTGCTGCAACAAGTGACTGAGGCAGAGACACATACCTTATGTGACATGATATGTTTAATTTGTCTCATGAAACATACAAAATCATGCATTACCTTTTTGGGTCATTTCCAAGAAATGTAACTATAAATTGAGTGAGAATTCAATATGCAAAGTTGGTCTTTACGTATGAGTTTGTGTGTGAAAGTTATGACACTGGCACGGGTGTACACTCTGACTGGCCAGTCTGACAGAGAAGGATTTCTTTGTTTTTATTATTGTTTAGGTGTCCACTGGTAAAGTTAACGATTGCTTAGGCATTCCAGTGTACAGACAGGTGATTAGCAGTAAATAACTTGGACACGTGCCGCTTTTACACTCAACTGTATTTTCGGATACAGTGCAGATAAAACTCGAATCTTGTGTGGGGATAGGTCTCGTGTCATCTCATTTGTCCGTCTTTGCCCTCTCCTCCTGTCTCATGGCGTTCTGTTGCTCTGCGCTCTGATCTGTGGAGCGGTGACAGGAGCCTGATCCTCGGGGCTGCATCTCCACTTCATGCACTGTGGCAAATGACCCGCTACAGCACGGGAGGTTAGCACGCAGGATTATATGCATGCATGCAGGCACATTCGCCAACGCTTGCACACAAAGCTATACGAGCGCTCGGGATGTCTTAACTCGTCCTTTGGGTCCGCTTGAGATGTCGTCTCCCTTAGCAGCTGCTAACAGTCCATTTCAGCCTCTAACCCTGCCTGGGGCCAACACCTTACAGTGGAGTACTAATGATCTCTCCCCTTCAGTCCGTCTTCTTCTCCATCCATCCATCCATCTCTCACATGTCTCTCACTGCCTGTACTTACACATTTACTGTACTGTGCTTCTCCTTGCGATTGCATCTGTTTATAATCGTGCCTGGCAATATCTGCACCTGCTTGTTATTCTTGCTCGTCTGTAATTGCGTGCACACAGCTTTGCATTTGCAGCTGAGCACATCTTTGTGGACCCGGTGTCCATTAACATTGTGTTTACTGTCTCTGTATCATTAAGGACCACAGACATGTGTCCTAGTAAAAGACTAGGACATAAACTGAAGTGATGTAGCTACGGTCAGACTCACATTATTCTCTGTTCTATTTCCATGGCTGCCTGGGAGCCTAAAAGCCTTCATAAATTACACTGTTATTTGGGTCAAACCTCTGTTAGTAAGCACGTGGCTGATTTAGAGCCTCAGCTGCCTACCCTTGGCTCAGACGTCGCAACGTATGTGTGTGTGCGCGCATAGCCACACACACACATGGCCAAACAATGCGCTGTTGTAATGATATAAACAATAGCCGTTCATTCATATCACACAGAGTGCAACATACGCATAGAGACAGGGAGAAAGGCTTAAATGTTTTTCATTTTTTTGTTAACAAACCACAAGTAGAGTTTGAGTCAGCACTTGCACACTGTTTCAGAAACCCGTCTTGTGTGGTCAAACATCAACTATCGCAGCGTGTGAGCTCACTGCATGCGGTTTTGACAGTGCGTGCGCGTGAGTGTGTGCGTATGCGTGAGTGTGTGCGTATGCGTGTGCGTATGCGTGAGTGTGTGCGTATGCTGGTGGGCCTCCAAAGTTGCTGTTAGTTTTCCATGACATTTTTACAAACCATATGATTGTGGTTTTACACTGCAAAAACCCGTTGACATTTTTTTCTCTCTCCCTCTTAAATCTGTAATTTGACTGTCCTGCTGGTGTTTTTTCTCTGTATTTCCAGTGTTTGTTTTCTTCAGTTCTCCCCAAGCAATTCCAACAAATGTGTTTTTGCAAACATTTGGTAAATTAAGGGGGTCTAGAGCCTAGTTTAATTTGATTCAAATGTCTGAACATTGAAACATTTTATTTTTTGGGGGAAATTAGTCGTCATTGCTTCCAAAACCCCCAGATGGTATTACTGTATTAAACTTTCTAATTTCTAATGAAAACAGGCTAAAAGTCTGCAGCTATGCTAGTGGCTCTACACTAAAGGTTTAGTATGAGCATCATGTAGCAGCTCTGGTGCTCTGTCTATCCACAGAGGTGTTTGGGTGACGTATTGCGTTGTAGGTCATCCATGGGTTTGCAACACTCAGAACCCAACACACTGTAGTTTTGTGCATTAAATAGACTTGAAGCCTAAACATATGCTTTGTGTCAGTAAAATACAAACCACTGTGCCGCCTGTGTAGCGCTAGATTAATTAATATATTAGCTTTTCGAGTTCATCAGTCATGTGTCAACATCCTAACATGCTCACAGTGTGAATATGCTGATTTTAGCAAGAATAATGTGCATATTGTCCCTGCTTAGTTTAGCACATTGCTAATAAGGAGTAACCAAAAGATGCATGGACTTGTCATCGTTAGCAGATATTTAGTCATAAAAAAAAAACAGTATTAAAGAGCCCATATTATCAACATTTACAGGTTTATAATTTTTACTTTTGTGGTCCAGTGGAATATGTTTACATACTTTAACGCTTATCCATCACAATATTTTTCATTGCGGTGGCCTCTGTTCTCACCGTCTGCCTGAAACGCTTCATTTCGGCACCTGTCTCTTTAAGACCTGCGGTCACACATCTATAGGCAGAGCTGCTCACTTTTTGTTTGAGGCTGCGCCAGACTAGCTGCCAGGCAGGAGTTATGCAAATGTGTTACATAGTGATGTAACACATGTGTAATGGACGGAATAAGTAACGGAAGAAAAGCCTGAACTTCAAGCAAGGTATTTCTACGGCAGGCAATGAGCAATGTTTTTCCCTTTGGAGTTCACTTTGGGCTTTGTAAGTTTGCAGACCTTTTACCTTTTTCACAAAGAAGCAGCTGTATAAAACACTAAATGACAGGTAAAAACACAAAGCATGAAATGGGACCTTCAAACACATTGAATTTTGACCTGATATTGCTATAGTATGTGTTTAGCCTGGCCCAAAACTGTGGATTAACCAACTGGTAATGCCGTGTTCTAACACTAATTACTTTATATACTAGAATTCGGCATTGCAGAATGTATTTCAGTTTGATCTCAGTAATCAGTACATTTAAAGAAACAACAACCAATGCTGCTTAAATCCAAATTAATATTCACAA